CATTTTATAACTCCTATTACTATGACAGCATTTCTTCTTGTTTGTAATATACTTTTACTTTCAATGTTAATGGCTCAGTTTACATCAACATTTATGAGATTAAGTCGATTGTCAGATCAGGTAAAATTTGTTTTTTTCTTGTTTTACATTCAAAAAAACAAGCAAAAAAGATAACAATGAAATTACTTTGGTTTCAATTAGGTATGGAAATTTCAACGATATCATACAATTCTTCAATATGAACAAAAACCATTATTAGCACCACCATTAATCATATTTTCTCATATATTTCTTTTAATAAAAACAATTTATCGTATATGTCGTCATCGTAAACGTACATTTAATCGTGGTTTAAAATTATTTTTAAGTGCCAAAGAAATTGAAAAATTACGTGATTTCGAAGAAGAATGTGTACATGAATATCTTTTAGCTAAAGAAGATAAAGAAAAAAGTACTGTTGAAGAACGTATGTTAACAACATCAGAAAGGTTAATAATTTCTTTTTTTTTTTTGTTTTCATCTATATTATAGATAATATCTATTTTAGAGTTTCACATATGTTAACACGTGTTGAAACATTAAAACGAAATAGTACTCAACAAACAAGTTGTTTTCAAAATTTTGATGAACGTTTACAACGTCTAGAAGATATGCAAGCATCAACATTACAATTACTTAATGTTCTTGTACAAAACATGCAAACACCATCCAATGATCAAACAACATTAATTGATAATGCTTCAACAAAATCATCGGATAAGAAATTAAAAGAAACTGATGATGATGAAATATTAAATTTTACAGCTGTATCATCACCTGATGATGTTAAATTCCCTATATCATCTTTATTATCATCGGGTACAAATCGAGCTATGCGTTCATCCAGTCTTACAAGTCGAAAAGTAACAAATCCTCTTCCGATACCAAATTCAGTTCCACCACAAATTATTGTTGGACCATATTCAGAATTTCTATCAATTAAAAGTTCAGGTGCATCGACATTACCAGCTAATGATGAACTTTTAGGTATTGGAACAACAACACTTAGTACATCATCAACATCAGTAAATGTTATTGATGATACAAGTCATCCAGGTTTATATGAAGCTGAAGAAACAGAACATAATATATATGGAAAATTAATTAAAGAGCGTTTTCGTAAATTATCTGAAGTTGTTGAAGATATTGAAAGAACATTACCAAGACATCAACACCGTCAAGATGACAAACGTGATAAATGTGATATAACAGATGATGATGAAACATTATCAACTATGGATTGGGTTGATACAACTAGACGTGTTGCATATAATAGTACACATGTATCACGATTTGATATTAGTCAAGATGAAAATGGACAGACTGTTATTGCAACAAGTAAGAAGATTTCATAAGCAGAAAAAAAGATGTATTCGTTTAGCAGATATTTCACGATGAATATGTGAAAACATCAAAGTTGTTGTTCCTCCTTATCAAAAAATGCGCCATCTTTAAACAACAGGAAATTTTCACATATTAAATGATTATTTTTTATCTTGTTTAAAACATTCTTGTTTTTGTTAAATAAAAAACCTACTTATAAATCACGCAAACCAAATCACTACGAATTGAAAGAAAGACATGTTGCATTCAACGAAACATGTACCAATGTTATGTCAACCGCTGGTTAATTGTGGTTCTTCTGTTTAATCTCTTCGGGTTGATGATTCTGAACTCCGAAAACAATCGAATTTCATTGAAATCCGTCAGAAAAGTACTGGTAAAAAAAACATTGTATCTGACAGGAAAGTATCAGGAACCGATTATAGATGGAAGTAGTATTGCGAACGAGAAAAATAAATCTAGAGACTGTTCGGATTGAAATACTACTGCCATTTTCAACTGTTTTCTTGCCGAAATCGACCCGTATTTCTTGACCTGAATCATTGGCTGAATATTTTTAAGCTCTAGGAAAAATTTTAGGTTTAATTTGAAAAGGCGTATTCGCATGAACGTCAGCGCGATAATACTCCCTATAGCATGCATATTGACTGGCTGGTTTACTTAATTTTGAACTGTGATTATTTATTGCAATTTGACGGCAGTGATAATAACCATTAGTTAGAAGTCTTACTGGCAAGATAACCAAGTGTTTTGAGTAGCAATCAATCTCTTCAAGACAGAAAAGATGAATTTAATAGAAATAATATTAAAAGCTGTTAGCGCAATCCCTTACGGGATTAAAAATGTGACACACGATAGATCTATTGTTACTAATTAAATGGAAATCCTTTTGTTCCGTTTCTTTGCGACACATTTGTAGCTAAACGTTTATCTGATGCTTTACAACTACAGTTTTTCTGTCACAATCTGTGATAGGTACCAGTGTTCTCTATCACGGTCTGTGATGGGTACCGGGGATTCTCTATCACGGTCTGTGATGGGTACCGGGGATTCTCTGACACGCTCTGTGATGGGTACCTGGAATTCTCTGTTACGGTCTGTCATGGCTACCCGGGGTTCTCTGTCACGCTCTGTGATGGGTACCCAAGATTCTCTGTTACGGTCTGTGATGGCTACCCGGGATTCTCGGTCACGGTCTGTGATGGGTCCCAGGTCGAATTCACCCTGTCGAATCCGATAGAAATTCGCCGGAATTTGTCGGAATCCTAACCACAGGATTCCGACAAGTGGTTCTGGATGTCGGAAAGTGTCGGAGTTTCAGGGATTTCGCAGGATCCTGATTATTCCGACATCCGGAACCTCCTGTCGGAATCCTGTGGCTAGGACGCCGACAACTTCCGACGAGTTCCCGTCGGATCCGTTAAAATCCGGTAATTTTTCCGATATAATCCGATATAATCCGACGTAATCCGACAGTCGGATCGAATCACCTGGGGTACCAGGATTCTCTGTCACGATCTGTGATGGGTACCAGAGTTCTCTGTCACGGTCTGTAGTGGGTACCCGGGATTCTCTGTCACGGTCTGTGATGGTGACCGGAGATTCTCTATCACGGTCTGTGAGGGGAGGGGGGGGGGGGGGGGGGGTGCAAATTTCTACCCCTAAACACTTCAACACTCATTTCAGATCGTGTTTCACAAAAATATGATACAAGAAAAGGGAGTAAGACTTTCCAATCGTTTGTTTTGATTAAAAAAAATTAACGAGATAAATGTATATCAGAGATTCACGAGTCAACCGAAAAAGCGACTCGCCGCCGCCTCGTCAGGATGGTGAGTTGCTCTTCGCTACCTTGCCTTCTCAACTTTGACTCGCCACCGCCTGGCCTCGCCTACGGTCTATCATAAAAACTGCTTCTTTTAGGCAGTTTTTCGACCACCCACAACAATCACTATCTTTTTTATTTCTTAACATCAAAGTAAGTACATTTAACACATAAATAAGTACAAAAAACAAAATTACAAAATAAG